GATCAATTGCTAGGCTGACATTAAGAAGCAATAGAGCGGAATTGGGCATGGCAGAACTACTAATTGTTCGTTATAATCATAAAGGGAATGAAAAATACCAAGATACCGTTCGCAGTTGAGCCGCACGTCTTTTGTAAAAGTTATTCATATTTTTGCGCCAAGAATCGATGTCACGCGGAATGTTCACGTTATGCCATGACGTGAAGACCGCTGAACCAGGTCGGTTAATGACTGGACACTTCGGGACGACAAATGAATCCGAGGACGACCTCAAGCGTGATCGTAAGACTACTTCACGAAGGCTCTGGATAAAAAGAAAGCTATGCTTCATGTTCCTTGGATGAGAACGTTCCACTGGGCTACTTTGGCTCGCGACAGGGACGAATAGGGACGTTACTTACGCCCGATCGAGCAAATCGATGAACAACGGGACGATAGGTGATACCGAATTTTTGTCATGATAAGGCGTAATAAAGATATGGGATTCAAATTGATACTCGTTAAGGAGCGCGGATGGAAACAGAGCGGTACTCCATTTTTATCAAAAAGATCCCAGGAAATCATGGGATACGAAAAGCTTGGTTTTACAGCTTTACTTGCTTAAAAATTATAAAATATTCACTTACTATTTGAAAATACTCGTTAGAATTACAATATTCGGCACTGCTGTGATCTTCCTACGGAATGTGAGAACGTTGGCGCTTGAGGTGGCAATGCCTGGGGTAGTCGCTGTCAACATGGACTACCCCTAGATACAAGTGTTGGATTGTGGTGTTGTTTAGGCGTGTGTGCTTTTTCCAATCAAGTAAACATGTTACGTCTGCAAGCATTGAAAGTCATTATAAATTGCTATTTTGATCGAGGTTCTAGCTAAATTCGAGTAGGAGAGATATGCAAAATCAGTGAAAAGACGTTTATAGGTGGCCACTTTATACCTCCACTCGCTTGAACGTAAACTACTTTGCTCCATTGCTTACGTTGACTGTTATTACTTTCTTTTCCTACCACTCTTCCCTTTTCCTCTTCCATTTTCTCCTTTTCTTTTTCTTTTTTCTTTCACTTTTTCTTTTCTTTGTTTTTTTCCCTCTTCCCTTAATCTAAGCAAAGAGCTAAGGCCGAATCTTTGAATCGGAAACTCCATTTTCACCCGACCATTCGAAAAAGTGCAAAAGTTTCCCTTCCTTAATTACATTTTTTACTGTTTTCATTTTCCCCTTCTATTAAAGAGGGTAAAGAAACAGCAGTTAACAGCCATAGAAAAAGCGAGGGCAAGTGGGGTCTTGGTCGTGTAGCGGATAAGAGCACGGTGCCAGGATAGCATAAGTACGAGTTCGAGTCCCTTCCGAGTGCGAAGTTTTGTCCATAATTCGCCAACCTTGTGAGAGATAACAGCCTAAATTTTGCTTGCGGCAACTGTGGGTGGTATATTTACACGATCATCTAATAGCAGCTTCAAAACCAAATTTTCCGTCTATACTGTCTAAGTGCTAGATTTAGCTAGTAATTGATGAATCCTTTACTCTAAATTGGGAGTGAGAGATCAAAGTTAAGGTTTCCAAAGAGCTGAGTCATTGCAGATCGTAGTTTAATGTTCAGGAGTCATGAACGGGAATTACAAAGAAACGTTGCTCTGCCAATGTTTCTTCTCTCTAGTATGAGTTATCTTGTGAAAATTGAAGTGATTTATGCCGTAATTGTTTGGCCACGTTTTTGATTGACATCTTATTTTTTCACAAGCACGACAAGCGTTTTTGTAGATCTTTGGCCGTTGTTTCTGCTCAGAACGCTCTTTTTTTGCTTATTTGTGTTATTCTTTTTAACATCGAACGCGTACCTTTCTTGTTTTTTTTTGTTTGACTGACATTGCTTTCATCTAACCCAGGCGGTATCCCAATCTTCATGTAGATTCGTTCTTTTTCCTTTTTCCTTCATAGACTATCCTGTATTCTTTGCATCTTCCCTATAGTTTTGCGCCATGACAATATTTATACAAATCAAGGCATGAAGAAAGGAAAAAGCAAGAACGCAGCGGAAGCTGTTGACCAGCCTACGGAAGGTGGTACTTCGGAGCCGTCGCCTTCATTCAGTAGGTCAGTAAGCAGACGTGAGCCTCTTGTCATCAGTTCCTTACATCCAGACTTTTCAATCAGAGTCAGAATTTCAGGTCGAAGAAAAGGAACAAGATCAGCGCTTATGAACAGGCAAAACGAGTGTATGAACGCATACAGCAACAGAAAGCACAAGAAAAGGTTGCCCGTCAGATAGAGCGAGAAAAACGGCAAGCCATGCTGGAAAAATATCTTCGTTCCAAAAAAGAAATGAACAAGGCTTTACGTAAATGCAACAAGAAGGGTC